CACAGAGCTCTGCGAACAGCCAGCTTCTTTAGCAATCACCTTTTGTGTCTTGCCCTCCTTGTGCAAGGTGTCAATGATTGTCTTTTGGACAGCTGTTAAGTCAGAAGTCTTCCCCATGATTGTGGTGCCTTCAAAACAAGACTGAGGGACCTTTTAAAGGCCTTTGCAGGTGTTTTGAGTAAATCAGCTGATTAGAGTGGCAGCAGGTGTCTTCTATATTCAGCCTTTTCAGAATATTCTAATTTTTTGAGATACCAAATTTGGAGTTTTCATTAGTTGTCACTTATGAATATCAAATTTAAATGTAATGAACATTGGAAATACATTGGTCTGTGTGCATTGCATGAATATAATGTACAAGTTTCACGTTTTGAATGGAATTACTGAAATATTTTCAACCTTTTGATGATATTCTAATTTACTGGCCAGCACCTGTATTCACTTGTGACTGAACGAGTACAAAATATGGAGCAAACGTGGATGGAAACGACGGTAAAAGTGGGTTTGGAGGTGGCGACCACATGAAACATACAAACACATTAGTAAATACCAGGTAAATACACTATTGGGGACCATAGTGGCAGGATAGCACAGAACAGCGCTACGCCCTCTGTTGTCCTGGCAGGGAATTGCTTTGCAACTCTCCTGCCCGAACAGAAGTTCGAATGTGAAAACCTTTCCGACACTCCGTGTGTGTGTCTCCATTGCAAAGCTCACAGAGGGGTATAAATCAGGCTTTCGGCTACTGCCCCCACGACCCGACTCTGAATAAGCAGCTGAAAATGGTTGGTTGGATGTTTAGTAAAGCGCCTTTAGATGACTTTAGCTGTGAACTGGCGTTGTGTAAATAGATCAAATTTAAAGTTACAGTTCTTTATGTGAATAATTTTAGAAAAATAGATGATTACTATGTTTTTATTAGAAAAACTAAGAACAAAAAGGCATTTGGTATCTCCTAATACTGTACACAAGACAAAATTATACTTAGAATAAAACCTGAAACGCGTATTGTTTTATATTCATTGATGTGATGCTTATCATTTTATTAAATGAGAAACCTTTAGAGAAATCCCTCAAAGTTTTAGAAACTCTTAGACTTATTAGAAATATTAGCTTCCACGTACATGTTTTTAGTAGTATCTTTATAATAATATGCTAGTATTTAATATAAAATGGTTTATTTAGATTGTAATGTGGTACATAATACTTAATATTATGTAATATGTAATAAACTGAACTCAGTGAACCGATAAGTAGGTTTAATTGGAATTTACTTTTTAAAGTGACTTGAGATGACTCTTGTTGGGATTTGGTGCTATTTAAACAAACTGAAGTGAACTGAATTACAGTACATTTAGTCAATAAAATAAGGAAATATAAAGAAAACTAGAAAACTTGAAAGAAAGAGCCTACCAGCTGGCACAAGGAAGCATTTTTTAGAATGTTTTTCACTAATAACACCATGGTAACTCAGATCCTGTACCGACACCGGGCCCAAACGTAGACTGACCGAGCAAATCACACACACACACACACACACACGCACGCACACACACACACACACACACACACACACACACACACACACACACACACACACACATCGCATCGCAACCTGCTCTGGCGGTGATCTCGGAGGACGCATCGCATCCTGCTCTGGCGGTGGTCCCGGGGGACGCATCGCATCCTGCTCTGGCGGTGGTCCCGGAGGACGCATCGCATCCTGCTCCGGCGGTGGTCTCGGAGGACGCATCGCATCCTGCTTCGACGGATGAGGTCCAAGAGGCCCCGGTCCCGGCCCAGCCCGTCCAAGAGGCTCCGGCCCGGCCCGTCCAAGGGGCTCAGGTGAAGCCTTTCCACAAGCCTCCAGTCCAAGGGTCGACGCCTCCAGGCTCTGAAGAGGACGTCTCCTGCTCTGAAGTTCCCCAGTCTGAAGTTCCCCAGTCTGTGTCCCCTCGTAGTCTTAGTCTTGGTCCAGTGTCCCCTCGTAGTCTTAGTCTTGGTCCAGTGCCCCCTCGTAGTCTTAGTCTTGGTCCAGTGCCCCCTCGTAGTCTTAGTCTTGGTCCAGTGTCCCCTCGTAGTCTTAGTCTTGGTCCAGTGCCCCCTCGTAGTCTTAGTCTTGGTCCAGTGTCCCCTCGTAGTCTTAGTCTTGGTCCAGTGTCCCCTCGTAGTCTTAGTCTTGGTCCAGTGTCCCCTCGTAGTCTTGGTCCAGTGTCCCCTCGTAGTCTTGGTCATGGTCCAGTGTCCCCTCGTAGTCTTGGTCATGGTCCAGTGTCCCCTCTTAGTCTTAGTCTTGGTCCAGTCTCCCCTCGTAGACTTGGTCTTGGTCCAGTGTCCCCTCGTAGTCTTGGTCTTGGTCCAGTTTCCCCTCGTAGGCTTAGTCTTGGTCCAGTTTCCTCTCGTAGTCTTAGTCTTGGTCCAGTTTCCCCTCGTAGTCTTAGTCTTGGTCCTGTGTCCCCTCGTAGTCTTAGTCTTGGTCCAGTGTCCCCTCGTAGTCTTAGTCTTGGTCCAGTGTCCCCTAGTAGTCTTAGTCTTGGTCCAGTGTCCCCTCGTAGTCTTAGTCCTGGTCCAGTGTCCTCTCGTAGTCTTAGTCTTGGTCCAGTGTCCCCTCGTAGTCTTGGTCTTGGTCCAGTGTCCCCTCGTAGTCTTGGTCTTGGTCCAGTGTCCCCTCGTAGTCTTGGTCTTGGTCCAGTGTCCCCTCGTAGTCTTGGTCTTGGTCCAGTGTCCCCTCGTAGTCTTGGTCTTGGTCCAGTGTCCCCTCGTAGTCCTAGTCTTGGTCCAGTGTTCCCTCGTAGTCTTAGTCTTGGTCCAGTTTCCCCTCGTAGTCTTAATCTTGGTCCAGAGTCCCCTCGTAGTCTTAGTCTTGGTCCAGAGTCCCTTGTTTTTTGCCTGACCCCTGCCTTGCTCGCTGCTTGCCATTTGGACCTTGCCTGTCTCTGAACCTGCCTCAGCCTTGCCCTCCAGGTACCTCTGCCTTCAATCAAGACTTTTTATATATTTTTACTGTGTTGGCGTCTTCACGGGTCTTCAGAACTCTGTTCGTGACACCATCATTCAATTAGTGATTGTTTAACAATGATAGATAATCAATAAACAAAAAAAAATACATTTAAAAAAATGTTTTCTAATTTTTCTAATTATTTTTATGTGGAACTTATTTTATTTAGTTTAAAACTTCAAACATTTTGTGAGAATCAGTTTTTGACTTTGAGATATTTACGTTTCAATTGTTATGGGCCGTGACATAAATTTGCCATTAGGTGGTGCTGTTGGGCTGAGCTATCTGAGTTATTTTCACTTTATCATTTTTTTAAGTTTATTTAGCTGAAGAAATGTGGCACAATCACTAGTAACAAAAGGACTCTTAAAAGTCACTCACGAAGATGTATGAATCTTTGGTTTCAAATATAAATAAAATGAAGAATCAAAATGAAGGACAAGGAGGAGAAGAGAAAAAAGACGACTGATACTTTATTTATAAAACTATTTTAAAAACTTTGTTAAAATCTAACCCAGGAGTAGGACTCATACAGAGATGGTGACTAAAAATTGTCAACAAAGCTGTTCGAAGTAACTATTAATATAGTCACAGGAAATAAAAAAAAGTATGAATTTGAAATGAACAGCTATAACATAAAATGTAATACTGAAATAATAGTTACATAAAATCTGAAGCATTTTTTGAGTGTATATTTTACTAAATGTTCAAATGAAGTTCATAATAAAATCAGAGTAAGGACACAGCAAATGTGAGTACAGCACTGAGGTGATGGCGTTTGTTTCACTGTAAACTAAAAAACAATCATATTTTAAATGTCAGGTAATAAAATATTATTTACCGTAAGTTTGCAGTAATAAAGGCCTGATTACATTACATTATAGCAACAAAACAGAACTGAGTTTGTAATTGTTTTAATACAGGAAAGTAAAAGTAGGACTGAACAAATAATCAAAAATTGTACTAAACAGGCTTTAATTATTGTGAAGGCCTGCTCCTCAGTTTATTAAGTTACAGGTTTGTCCTGCAGAGCTTGGAGCAAACTGTTGGTGATGCTGATTAGAGAACAAGGGGGAACCCCAGGCTCTCATTCCTGTAGCCAACCAGGAAGTGGCTAAAATGCAGTTCTACTTTCATCACTAGGGGCTGGCACCAGAAGAGAGCAAATTCTCATCGACTCCCATGTTAAAAATTCCAATTTTACAGCAAAAATAAACATGTTTACAGCCTGGTTCAAAAATATTTTAGATTTAATAGTTCTAGTTTACATTCATGATTTTTTTTGTAACTCTTCTGTTTAAGTGTAATTTAATGCTTAAAATTCAGAATAATTAACGAGCATCAGAGCCACGTCGGAGCCAGAGCTAGAGGTGGGAGCTAGCTCCGGGGAAAGGCCTCACATTAATGGATTTGGCCATTTCAACTCTCTGAACGTTAGCTGTGTCCTGTGTTGTGTTACATTAAATGCTTGGTCAAACATGTTAGTGGGGCTGCATAAGAAACTGAAGGTGCCCGGCTTCTCCTGTCTCCGGTACAGCAGGCTGTTCCCGTTTCCCGGGGCAGCCGGGACGTCTCGACCTGCTCCCATGCGAGGCTGTAGTCATTTGTGGATCTCTGAGGGAGACCACAGAAACACCACAGCTCCTTTAGTTGATGCTGTTTCACTTTTGAGTTGCTCAACTGCATTTTCCTCACTAACAGGTTGAATGGAGGAAAATGCTATGCCTTTACATAACACCGCTAAGTAATTAGCCCTACCCTCAGCTCCACCTCTATTCCCATTTTTGGATTGTCTGGGCGTGACGAGACGTGTGACACAGATGGTCAAAATGGCGGTGGTGGGAACCTCCCATTTGGAAACAAAAATTTATAATTCGAGCCTATGGACATTATTTATCCAGTATATATGCCAATGATGGAGACACCAAAGCCTGGTGTTAATCCTCACCTTAAGAACTGTACTTCACTTGCAGTCGGGGGGGGGGGGGGGGGGGGGGGGGGGGGGCTTGCCCAAGCGTGGCTTTATTTTGCTAATTGTTTGGTCTGGTAGCTGTCGCTTTACTTTCAACCACAGCGTCTTAACCCTTATTTTTGTTGCCCCACACGTTCGTGACAAGTAGGGGCTCATCCAGGATTTGCACCTGGGACTTCTCGCATCAAACTTCACAAGACAATCATTTGTTTTTAATAATCCATAAAAGTGCTTCTGAATCACAGCAAACACTCACATTCACTGTAAAAAAAAAAGCTGCATTTGTATTTATCTGAACCCACAGAAACAATTTCTTCATTGAAATAAAACCCAATGAAATTAATTGTAAAGGTCGCTCATATAAAAGTAAATCTGTTCTTGTGTGTGTCACACTTCTTCAGCAGACCCGATGCAATGGCTTTCACAGCTCTCATGGTCTCAGTGCAGGTGGGGCTGATCAGGGATTCAGGCAAAAGGAAACCATAGTGTCCCGTGTCCCTTAACTCAAAAGCAAAAGCATAGGGGATCCCGTTCCTGTAGGCCCAGTCGATAGAGCTGCCAGAGCTAACATCTGTGAGGAAAAGAGAATCAAATGGCAGAAAATGTTCTAAAGAGAGTTTTTAAATCTTTTAAAATGGATGTCCTAGAACAAAGCCTTTTTACAACTGGAAACTGTTCTTTGACCCTCAATATAACATAAGAAACTTTGTTGGGGCTCACAAAGACAAAGGAGCCATGATAAATAGTCAAACATAAAAGTTATTATCATTACCTAAACTATAATTAAATAACGAACACCAGAATAAAAAAAAAACTACAATAAAAATTAAAACGAGGACATGCAAAAGAAGAAAATCAACTGCAAATATACTTAGTTTTGGCTTTAATTAGTATGAAGTCCAGTTTTGGTTGTTCTTGTACAAATGCCTCAAACCCCGACTTCACACTGGAGGCATGATCAGCGGTGCTGAACGGTAGTAGAACAGTTTACCTGCAGAGTCTCAGCCATGGAGAGGCTTCTCCACCATCCTCGCGAGACCACAAAATCCCTCAAGTCTTGAAAAGTCATGGGGTGTTTCTCAATGCTAAGGAACCTCGCCTCGATGTCTCGGTCCTGCCCCAGTTGCCTAGGAGATATGTCATCAGGAACCGCCAAAGCGTGTTCCAATGTTCATGTTCTACCGAGGCGTCTGTTCTCCGTTTGTTAGCTGTTTAGCTAGCTGAGCAAGGACACACGGGAGGTGCCTTAAAGCCTGGCCTTGATCAAAACTTTCCCAGAATACACCGCTGTATTTTCAAAAGGATGGCCTATCAGAAGCCGGCAGCTACTTCGCGGGCAAATTTCAAGTTTAAATGTAAGTCAACTAATTGTAGCTTTTGGGCTGATGTCTGAAATGTTTTTTTTTCAAAAGCAGTTAACTGGTTGGTTAGTTGCTTAGTTGCAGCTTCGATGGCTAGAAGGTAGTAACTCGCTTGCAAGTTCAATTTAACTAATTTATACACAATTTAAAAAGTAAAAGTCTCATTATATATTTATATTGAAACTTATACATATAAAATATAACATTACCTCCTGTGTCACGGCTTCTGTGGCAATCATGTGATGGAAGTCTGTTCCATTTAAGTGTTTTCTTTGATCAAGGAAAGACAGCGTCCTCGTAAGCAAGGCGCCTGGCCTCACAAGACATCGCCTTGCGATGCCAGGTGCCTTGACATTGAGAAACACCCATGGTTTTCTTATGCCATCTGCCATTAAACCAAAAAAAGAAGGAAACCACGTTTGATTTCTACGTACTAACTTGTGCCTCTCCACTGCCAAAATTAAAGCCCTGAAAAGCACATCTTTGCACTTCTCAAAAAATGTTTGACGTAAACAAACTGTTAGGTCACATGTATGTATGTAATCTACAAAAACTATGAAATTGCATTGCTGCAATATTTTTTTGGGAAAATTTCTAGAAACACTGTGACCGTGTGTGATTTCCTTTCTTACCCTATGTTACTAGCAGAAACTGACGTGTCCCAGAAATTGCTCTTTAGCGGCACAGTGCGATATGCTGCTTCTGGGCTGCGCCTAAAAATTTCCACGCCACGGTCAGTTTAAATCAACCCATGGGTTCTATTTTAAGCAGAGACGCTCCGCGCCGCTGATGTCTCCAGTGTGGAGTCGGGGTAAGTCTGAGTGGTGTGCGAACGGATGTTTATTTTTTGTGTCCCTGCATTAGACTGCAGACCTATCTGAGTTTAGCCCTGCCTCTCATCTGGGGGCATTAGCGGTAGCTCAGAATACCATTGTTCTGTGGAAAGCATTATACGTTTATACATTGCCAACGTTAAAGAGGGTTGGAACATGCACATGTAAGGGGGTGTATCTAAGCTTATGATGCTTTTCTTATAACAAACCATTTCTCAATATTCAACAACAAATGTGGTTTGGAATTCTAGTACACCTTTAATCAAAACTCACACAGAGTGGTGGAGGCTGGTCCGTATCTGTACCTCACTCCGTACGCTGAATATAGGGCTGTCACTGCGCTGTGAGCTGCCGACTCCTGGCAACAGAAAACTTAAAAACATATTCCTGATTTAAAATAATTGTGTTGATTATCTATAAAGAGGTGGAGGTCTTACCACACAGTTAAAGTTGGGTATTGTGGCATACTTGTAGGAGTACGGGTAAAGAAGCATTTGAGCGTATGCATGAATGGAAATATATGCTTTTATTCGCTTCTTGTGCTTCCTCAGGAACTTGGCAACAGCTTTGACTTCGGGTTCGGACTCAGGGAAGGCGCCGCAGTATGTGTCATCACACGGATGGGAGGAGGCACCTTCATCTGGGGGGGCAGAGTCCAAGACAAACACAAAGACAGAGACTTATAAACATTAAAGCAATTATTTCCACAGGTTGGGGCTGTGCAGTGGCGCAGTGGTTAGAGCTGTTGCCTTGCAGCAAGAAGGTCCTGGGTTCGCTTCCCGGCCTGGGCTCTTTCTGGATGGAGTTTGCATGTTCTCCCTGTGCATGCGTGGGTTCTCTCCGGGTACTCCGGCTTCCTCCCACAGTCCAAAAACATGACTGTTAGGTTGATTGGTCTGTCTAAATTGTGTGTGTGTGTGTGTGTGTGTGTGTGTGTGTGTGTGTGTGTGTGATTGTTTGTCCTGTGTGTCTCTGTGTTGCCCTGCGATGGACTGGCTCTCTGTCCAGGGTGTACCCCGCCTGATTGCCCATTGACCACTCGAGATAGGCACCAGACCCCCGCGAACCCACATGGACAAAGCGGGTTCAGACAATGGATGGATGAATGGATGGATTTCCGCAGGTATTTTTTATTTTTAAATGGTCAAATTTCTTCTATATAAAATAGTTTTAAGGAGTTAAAATTGTATTTGGGATTAGAGGGGTTAAACATGGGATTCTTAAATTATTTATTTGTTACTTTCAAACTAAAATGGGAACCTAGCAAACAAGTTGGAGCATGTAAAAAGAAGTACAAAAAATACAGTTACTTTTGCATAAATAAACATGATCTCCAGGCTAAAAGTCCTGATTTAAACATTAAGTATCCGACAGAAGTTTCCATGAAAGACATATAAAATGAGATCTTGCTCCTGCGTTCATGATCAATTCATCTTGCTGTTTTTCTTTAAGACCGACTCAAAGAGTCACAGTTTTTATTTTTATGACAACACAGCCGCGATTTACTAATAATTTATAATTTAAAATTCACTCACTACACCATTTCACCTTCCAGTTCCTGTTAGCATCCACTCCTCTACAGTGGAACTTGTGATTTTTGGATCGTGTCTTCCTCCAAAACCGGTCCTGCAAGAAAAATGACAACATATATTACTAATCTCATTGTTTTTAAAGACAAATAACCTTTAACTTGTACCTTGGCAAGAATGTGTGTGACTTTAAATGGGCAGACACTCCTATTTTTAATAAATTCAAGTTTTGTTTTTACTGCTTTGAAATTAGATTTTGGAGATGTTGGACATGCGTTAAAAGTGATTTTACTTACCGTATTCCAGCTGAACCGATATCCATCCACATTGAAGACAGGCATGATGTAGAAGCTGAGCTGGTTGAGAAGTCGTGTTGTCACAAGGTCGTACTTGTATGAGCTGATGGCCTAAGACAAACAAATTATTATAAAACATTTGTGGGTTAAATGATGATTTCGATAAATAAAATTCTAAGTTAAATTAATAAGAAGAAAAACTAATTAAAGATTTTTTAAAGGAAAAAAAATACTATTTCAGTTTTTTCTATTGGTAAAATAAAACTTTAAACTATAAACAAGTAAAATGTCCGAGGCACTTGTTTAATCAATGCATTTGCTGTGATCTCTAGTGATTAATGCTTTGCAAATCGTACTTGGGAGGGGTATATACACTTGTTTCTGGAACTAGCAGAATGCCACATCAGAGGAAAGCTTTACACGGCAGGATTTGGTGTCAGGTTCTGCGTCCTGCGTCCCCCTCAGGTGCCTCCTTGTGTTCCCCAGCCCACTCCAGGTGTTCCCCTTAGGTTTCTGTGCCCCTTACGTCTTCAGCTCCCTCCAGGTTTCCCTCAGGTTCCCCCTTAGTGAGTTCAGATTTAGTTATCCCATCCCTGTTAATGTTTTTCTTCTGATGCCTAGTTTTGAGGTTTATAGTTCACCTAACTTTAGTTGTCTGTAGATTAATTTTACCTAGTCAGTTTCCCCACTCAGTTAATTAGTCTCACCTGGTCTCACTCCCCACACACCTGTCACCTGTTTCCCTGATTGTTTCCCTCCGTGTTCCCTCTGTGTACTGTATATAACCCTGTCTGCGTCTCAATGTGTTGTCGGTTCATTTTTCTTGCAGCGTTGCTTTGTCTTTGTAGAGTTGAAAATAGCTTTCTAGTAAAATCTGGTATCAGAAATAAGATGGGGAAAACAGCCCCCCCCAAAGGTTGTTGTTATGATTGTATGTGTGTACCTGTCAGTTTACAATGCTATTCCGCATACAGCCGCTAGAGGGCGCATTACGCGCAGTGGTATCGAGTAGCGTTTTGGGGCACAGAGGAAGAATAAACCTTCCTGTTGTGAAACTGACATCAGCTCAATGTGTGTCCCTTTTTCTATTCTTTATCACAGGTTAGTAAAGGCATTTAAGTGAATGTATACTGCAGACCTTACAAACAGAGTATGTTGTTCATGTGGGTAATGAGCGCAACTCGCTAAAGAAATTGGATTCGTTCTGAGTTGTGTCTGAACTGTGGGTTGAGGCTGCGGGTAAAATGATGCTAATGCTAGCGGACTGGGCTAATGTGGGATACTGAGTGTGTGTGGGGAAGCTAAGTGTGAGAGACTTCGGGACTGTGAACTCTTAAGGTGGTAGGCACTCTGATAAATTGGTTTTATGCTACGTTTTAGTCTTCTGGTTGATGTTGTGGTTACAAGAACAAGTTTGTGGTTTAAGATGAAGACATTTATAGAGTGTTATAAGGAAACTGTTTGATCAATGCTGACTGCACAGTAGTAGTGAACGCCGTTAAAGGAGCATTGCACTCTATATAGTTGTAGATTGTATAAGAACAGTGGAAATACATTTCACATAAATAAGTTAATGCTGAACGAGAATTAAAATGTTTAAAAATGAGTTAATTTTATGATGTTGTAAATGTAGTTAAAACAAAGTACAGAGTACCCTATTGTGTTTTGTTTATCTTGGTGAAATAAATGTGTTCATTGTGATCCATTTTGAATCTGATGTTGTAAATGGATTTAAGCCACCCTTTGTTCATGTTTTGTCAAAATTGGAGAGAAGAATAAACCTTCCTGTTGTGAAACTGACATCAGCTCAACGTGTGTCCCTTTTTCTATTCTTTATCACAGACACACGTTATTGAACAGGAAACCAGTTGCCCCTCTGGTCATCATCTTAGGGAGGCAACATCTTTCTTCTACAGACCCATAGATCCTGGCTCATGAGTGAGCTTTTGTTTTTCTCTTTAGAACTTTAGATTTTTGGCTTAGAGTCCTGCAGTTTTGTTTATTCCTAATAAAATGATTTTTATTTTATACAACCTCTCCTGCCTTGAGATGTGTAGTGGTACATTTTGGGTCTAATCCTCCTGCGCTCTCAGTGTGACATTTGGGTTTTTATTTCCTGATATTCGGACATCTCACCTCTGATTGGATAACAGCAACACAACTCTACCACTGACTCTGTTTGCTTTGCAACATGAATGCTTTATCTCCACAAATACCACAAGCTTGAAGGTATTCTGCCATTTGGTGGAGTTGCTAATGCTAACGGTTAGCTTCTACTAGCCGAGATTTTCTCTGCTGTTTTCTGGACGTTAAACCAACAACAGCCTTCCTGTCATGAGCCAAGGTGGGTGAGTCCATGAATATTGTTATGGCTGGAGCCTTTTTGTGTTGTGATTTCATTTTTCTGTGCATTTTTATGTTGCATCTGAGGAGCCTGCCTGCAGACTATGGCCTGTTGGCTCACCCTTGCTCCTCCCTGCACCAGCTGAGCTGGGTTTTCATCAGCTGCAAATTGTTTAAAGGACCAGCTGGAGCTCCTCACCAATGGGGACAATAGTGCAGAGCTGCCTTTCCTCTGGTCTGTTGTCTCCCACTTAGAACTTTGATATTGTGCCCTTTAGAGTTATGTTACTGTTTGAACCTGTTTTGATAAAAGGGGATTTAGATCCATGGTGGTTAGCAATAATAATAGACATCTTTTCTGAATTAAGAGAAAAGTAAATAAAACTTTTGTTAATTTTCTTTTGTGTCACGCGTCCTCCATGTTACCCCAGGCCCCCTAGACACCTGGTTGTAACAAATATTAAGTGACAGTGTGACATAGATCTGTCAGACTTTTCAAATCCTAAAGTCCTAGAGCAGAAGCTAATGCAGGAGATTGGTGTTCAGCCACGTTTTGCCTTTATTTAATATTTATATCTTTGCTTTTTACACCTTGCGAACTTTAATCTCCACATTTATCCTTTCATTCCAAGTTGACCAAAAACTAAAGACCTTTAAAAAATGCTTTTGTTCTTAATTGTCTTTTGCTCATGTGAGAGAAAAAGATGAATGCCACTCATCTGGAGATTAAATATCATAAAATGAAATGGTAAAACACTTATTTGGTTTTGGTGTGGCTCTCATTTCAGTGGAATAAACTCTTTAAATGTCCGAACCAGTCTCAACTACAAACGATGTGACTTCCATTAAGTTAACAGATTTTGCTTTTGTATTTAAACGATGACATCACTCTATTCTTGGGTCTTCAGTTAAGCTTTGTTTGTGCCGGTTAGATCACGTCTTATGCATGATGCTGTGTAAAAAGTCAGCGGTCCAACCTCTTTGACAAACCACTGGCAGAAGGCAGGTCCGATCCACTCTCTGGCGTGAACGCCACAGTCCATCCAGATGGCTTTCTTCTGAGGACGGCTCCTCTGTCCGAGCTGACAGAACACAAGCAATCACCATCTATTAGTCTGTTATATTTCTTCCTTGTTTTCTCCTACCTGAAGCACATAAAGAGGTCTTCCTTCATACGACTTCCCAACAGAGAACATTCTGACCAGGTCAGGGTGGGTTCTGTTCATTTCGAACATCCAATTCTGGATCTACAAGAAAAAGAAGAAGAAAAGCAAATGTATAAAATAATTAACTGTCTTAAAAGGTGACACAAGAGTCTCAGGGTGCTTTTTGTTAGGAATTACCTCTTCCAGAGAGTGGTAAACCTCATAATCATACTGAGACTCTGACCTCCGCCTGCGAGAGGAACGATATCCTGTTTGCTTTTCGATTTCTCTCTGCAGATTAGAGATGAACACCCTGCGTGAGAGGAGTCACGTAAGTCACGTACAGAAAGTATGATACTTATTACGATATAAATATTCCAATACTGAAGAGATGAAACAACATATTGGGATACAGAAAGCCAGACGATATTTGGAATTTTTAAGACATAAGCCCTTTTTAGAAGAAACACACCTTGCCGACAAATCAGCGTAATACTACAGCGACAGTGTGTCACGAAAAGGCCGTGGTGGCACATCGATGCGAGAATTTGGTGGCATTCGTTCTACAATGCTGGACTTGTGAATGCTTTTCATGCCCTGCTTGGCACAACAGAGGGATGTGTCATAATCACATATCATATATATATATATATATATATATATATATATATATATATATATATATATATATATATACCGTAAATCCTCTAATATTAGCCTGTATTTAATTAACTGCTGGGTATCATATTTTGGCCGGTGTTGGAGTCGGCGGAGGTGAATAATGGCCGGTTTTTTATTGTGGCCGGGTGGAGTGTGGTAACAAGACATTTAACCAAATTGTGACCTTTACCCTCTTGCAATTTAACCTTCCCCTCACCCCCATCCTAACCTTAACCAGCTTGTGCATGCAAAGCTCTGATTGTTTACGCGCTCCAGACATCTGCGTCCTGAGCACGGCCACAGTAACATTATCAAATCAGGTGTCGCCACCTCAAAAACTGATTTGACACACGATCGTTCATGTCGGCTCATTTCCTTTTATGTTTTCTGTCTTTTATTCTTTTATTTGTGCCTGATGCGTTTCGCTGCTGTGGATCGGGGCGCATCACCTGTTTTGTCCTCTGTGAAGCACCACTACGGCTGGCGAGCGCTCCGCTGTTTTTGCGTTCGGTAAATCTTTTAGAACTGCAGTTCAAAGGTAACTCATAAGGTGAATATATATGAAGCCAGGTAGCAGTTTTTCTTTAGGATTGAGAGGAGATGCAGGAAGATAATAAACAGAGACAGGACAGAAAAATTGTCAAATAAAAACAAGTTAGTTTTTGTACCTGGTGGCTGCAACAAACAGACACAATTGAAGGTAATCAGAAGTGAGGAACAGAAAATGAAGTAATTATTTTAATGTTTAGAGCAGCAGGAACTCCAAGAGGCTGCAGGCGCATCAGTGAGTTTGCGGCCGCTGCGCAGGGGGAGGGGGGAGAGGGCTGAAGCAGAAACTACCGTTGTTAAAAGAAATGTGTTTAACTTTGAAAATGTGGGTGCAATTTTAATTGTCAAAAACTCCAGCGAACCATTAGTTCATTTTGCTCAAATAGAAATTTAGGCCTGCCTCTAATTTTGGCCCTCCTTCCAATAAAGGCCTGGAGCTGAATGAGCTTGAGTCAAATACAGGCCCGGGCCTGTATTAGAGGATTTACGGTATATTTTTTCCCCGCGAGAATGATTTACAATGCATTCATTCCTAATAGACACCACTGCAAATGTATTGATTAAACAAGTGAACCATTCCTTTAAAATAAATGCTTGACTTAACCAAAATCTAATTTTAATATGAGTTTGTGCTTCACAACTTTAGCTAATGTGGGATTTATGATCTCAAAATTATATGTTTAATTTACTTAATTGCAAACATTAAAAAAGATGTTACGCCCAAGTGAATGTTATAGACTTTTACTGTGAAGAATTAACAGAATTTATTTATTTTGAAAATACTATTTCAACATTTCCCTTGAAATTTAGTCAATCCCACCGGCACGTCTTCCAGTGAGGAAGCAGAGTCCGGGACTCTGGGTTGGGCTCTCCAGTCTCTGGTGCTGAGGTCAATGAGGTTGTCAAAGAGCTCCTCTGTGGCAAGGCCTCGGGGGTGGATGAGATCCGCCCAGAGTCCCTTAAGTCTGGATGTTGTTGGGCTGGGTTGGCTGATGGAGCTCTGCAATATCGCGTGGACATCGCAGTTCCACTGGACTGGCAGACCGGGGTGGTGGTCCCCCTATTTAAAAACGGGGACAGTAGAATGTGTTCCAACTACAGGGGGATCACACTTCTGAGCCTCCCTGGTAAGGTCTATTCAGGGGTTCTGGACAGGAGGGTCCAGCGGATTGTCGAACCTCAGATTCAGGAGGAACAATGTGGTTTTCATCCTGGCCGTGGAACACTGGACCAGCTCTATACCCTTAGGAGGGTCCTGGAGGGTGCGTCAGAGTTTGCCCAATCAATCTACATGTGTTTTGTGTATTTGGAGAAGGCATTCGACTGCTTCCCTCTGGGGGATATGCCAGGAGTAAGGGGTACCAGGCCCTCTGATACAGGCTGTTAGGTCCCTGTATGACTGGTGTCAGAGCTTGGTCCGCATTACCGGCAGTAAGTCGGGCTCGTTTCCAGTGAGATTTAGACTCCGCCAAGGCTGCCCTTTGTCACTGATTCTGGTCATAACTTTTATGGACAGGATTTCTAGGTGTGGAGGGCATCCGTTTTGGTGGCCTGAGGATCAGGTCTCTGCTTTTTGCAGATGACGTGGTCATGTTGGCTTCATCGGAACATGATCTCCGGCTCTAACTGGAGCGGTTCGCAGCCGAGTGTAAAGCAGCTGGGATGAGAATCAGCTCCTCTAAATCTGAGACCATGGTCTTGAGTCGGAAAAGGGTAGAATGCCTTCTCCAGGTCAGGAATGAGGTCCTGCCCCAAGTGGAGGAGTTTAAGTATCTCGGGGTCTTGTTCACGTGTGAGGGAAAGATGGACAGACGGATTGGTGCTGCGTCTGCAGTGATGCGGGCGTTGGGGCAGCAGTAGCTCAACAGGTTGAGCGGGTTGGCCAGTAATCGGAAGGTTGCAGGTTCGATCCCGGCTCCGGACAGAGAATTCTGCTGTTGTGTCCTTGGGCAAGATACTTAACCCACCTTGCCTGCTGGTGGTGGTCGGAGGGTCCGGTGGCGCCTGTGCTCGGCAGCCTCACCTCTGTCAGTGCGCCCCAGGGCAGCTGTGGCTACATCGTAACTCATCACCATCAGTGTGTGAATGATTGTGTGAATGGATGAATGATACAGTGTAGTGTAAAGCGCTTTGGAGTCCTTACTCTGAGAGGCGCTATACAAGTGCGGGTCATTTATCATGTACCGATCTGTCGTGGTGAACAGAGAGCTGAGCCAGAAGGCAAAACATGTACCTGTGTTATTATTTTTCTTCAAATTATCATTTTAAGTGTTTGTGCTGCTGTAACAAGTGAGTTTCCCCACTGTGGGATCAATAAAGTCTATTCTGTTCTGAAACCTCCCCTGGCATGCTCAGAGCTGAAATGTATGCCGTGGGACAGAGAAGACAGTAAAATATATTTTTAAATATAAAACTGCATTAATTTAATGTCAATTTTTAAAAAGAGCGTGTGCTACAACCAACTCTGCACATGAAATCATATTTCTTATGTGGAGAAAGGTGAGTATCACAACATTTGTTGGATAACAGAAGTTTTTGAATGTCTCATAGGAAAATATTTACCCATAATCGATTCTTTCTTGCTTTAATCGTGCGTGCAAAACTTGTGTGTCGTTACGTTTCACATGAATGTCCACCGTGGCGTTCTGATGGATTAGAACAGCACTATTGGGCTGCCAGTAGTCAACCTTTAAAAAAAGAGAAGATCAAGAATTCAAGAAAAGGAAACCAAGAGAACAAGATTATTAGGATTTTACAATGACAGATAAAAGATATTCTGCTTCCACTGTGAAATGATTTGTGGAGTATTTTTGTTTCTGTCTAGACAAACTCCATCTAAAAGCTAACATTTGGAACATTTTATCACATAGTATCCAATTTTCCTTGCTATCGGTTATTTAACACTCACACCATTAAACTTTCCCAGAACCAAATCTCATTGGAAAAATTGGATTACAACAAACAGCCAATCAGCAAGGCTGGCTTTTTTTCTTTTATTTCTGGCTTTTTTTCTTTTATTTGGATGTACAGTAAATGTCACAACATGCACCGGAGTGCAAATGACCAAAATATAATTGGTAAAAAGTAAAGCTTTTAAAGTAGTGATATGAAGGTATTTAGAAAGTGCTCATTTTCTTCTCTATGTTGACCTAATATCAACAAATTATCATATTGATCTTTATTTTGTTATTGATAAAGAGTCTGAGTGTCAAGCATTTATTGATTTTGGGCTCGTTTCCACTATCGGAACTTCTGGAGGATTTTACCAGAAACTAGTAGCATTTGCATGTCTCCATTTCACCGGGCGGGCTCAAATGAACCATTTTCCAGACCATTTCGGAACCAACAGAGTACCTGAACAGGGGTATGAACTCGGAAAGGCCTGGTAGAGTTGCCGAGCTGGACTTGAGCTTAACTTGTGATGATTGGTTATAACTCAGTAGGATCATCAGCAGAAATCGTCAAACAACCCGTCACTTGTGTGACGGAAGAGTTACTGGTAAAGTGGAATGGAGGGAAAAGAAAAATCACTGTTTCTAAACTGCAATCACTGAACATGCAGAGGAAATCGCCCCACAACGCCCTAAATGTTACCACTTGGTGGTTACGCCATAAAAAAGCAGCTTCTTATCATCATTAAACGTCGCTTTGACTGGCGACAGCGCAAACATCTTTCTTTAGAAGAAAGGCTTTTAGCGCTTCTACTTGTTGTGGGTTTAAAGACATGTCCAAGTCATTTAGAACAGAGGAAAGAGCCACAGCAAACTCCGCTTCATTCGCCATGTTTATGACAAACTCGGCATTATGGTGTGTGCTACTCAGCGCTGATTGGCTCAGTTAGAATTCTCAGGGGGTGGGGTTATTTGAATAGGAGAGTTCCCAGACCCTTTCTCTGTACAGAATTATACAGAGGAGGAGTCTGGCAGGCCAGGCTAAGCTGTGGCTACAATGTACTTCATCGCCACCAGGGTGTGAATGGGTGAATGATTGTGTTGTAAAGCACCTTGGGGGGTTCCAAGACTCTGGAATGCACTGCATCAAATAATTACCATTTACCGTACTTTGACAGAATAAAACCATTGACGGCTTTTGGTGTTCATCAGTGACTTCCATCACTGCCGAAGAATTTGTGATATGCTGACTTCTACCAAAGAGCAAACTCTGCCTACCAAAAGTGACAAAAATTACAGTTCCCTCTTCATCCACTAGGGGCTATATCCAGAAATGGTGTACAAAAAAGGCCTTTTTGGACAACTTTACCATTATGACACTATGTGGGGGTGAATATTTCTGTAACTCCTCCATTTAGAAGTAATAAGGCTTGCAACTATGAATAATTAGGAGTGTGTCCTTTTCATTGACAGGTAAAAGAAGAGCCGCCAGTGCTAGCTAGCACTAGCTGCTTGCCTTCCTGCTTGCTGCAGGGAAGCCCGCAGTCCTACCCCTCCTCTCCACTGCACGTAAAAGCGCCGCCAAACAGCTGCAAAACATACTACGTGGCAAATAGCCGCCATGTTAGTGGATGAGTTCCTTTCCACCGGCAGATGGACGCGTCCCTGAAGCGAGGGCAGACCATCATTATGTTTCGAGTCTAGGGGCTGGGGTGCTACACTTCCGAAACACATCAAACTCTGCAGTTTAGATCGAGCCAGACAGGAAAACAAACACAAAAGCAGTGTCGAACATCCAGAAACTTTCAAAATAAAAGCCATGTGCATTATGTCTTTTCCCGTGATTTTGTGACGTCACAGGACCAGCTGTGTGGAACGCTTTCGCCCCCGTTTCGAGTCAGAATTGCTCCCAGTTGGGAACGAGCTTGCGGGTAAAACGCAAACTATTATGTTACACGACAGTGGAAAGCCGAGGCTAACCTCATGATAAAAGTGTTACAGCCTAGAAGGCAGAAGGTAGCAGAGTCACTCAACCACGGACTTCTAGCTAAAAGCACCCACCAACCTAGCTTAGGTTAGCTTTATCATCTGAGTTTGTTGCGTGTCAATCATCCGGCCCCACCCTCACAACCCCGCTTTCAGCTTGTATTGTCTGGGAGTGAAGAGATGCGTGGGACGTAGAAACCACCCACTGGACTTCAATTCAGCTCTTCAAAAACCTACAGGTAGTGGGGTGAAGGGTGTGTCCATATCTGTTGCAGTCATTGGTCTTAAAGTCCTGAAAGGGTTGATTTTTGTGCACAAACATAACAGCAGAGAGGACAGAGTCATCGTATCTCCCGGTCACTTTTTCCCCTTCCCAGAAATTTCCCAGAAACTCGACTAATGTCTGAATTGTTCATATGAGCTCCTCTGAACAGCTTTATATTCCTACAGTCGGATTTCCGGAATGATGATTTTAGCACTGAAAGAAAACAAACACTTTACTTCAGGTTTCTTAACCCCCATGTCTAACTTTATTAGATATTTGAGCTCGAGGCTTAAAACAGACAAACCATATAAACACAGACAATGTGAGATAAAGACAGCTTTAAAAGAAGAAGTGAAGGCACAGATGTTTAAACGATGCACAAAAGAAATCCTGGAAATCTGTTTTTGTACTCTGTACCCGAGTGATTGCCCTCAGCTGGCTTTCATTTGTTGCATTCAGGAGAGCACGTGGCGGCTGGCCCACATGCTTGTTAATGTGCTAACTGGTTTAGTAGTTTACAGACAGCATACCAGATTAATTTAACTGCTGGGATTGAAAACCTTCAACCGGAACGCCTCCCTGCTGCTCCCAAAAGGGCATTTTTAACCTCACTCAGTCAAATTAAATAAACAGTTTATAGCTGTATTTATGAGCCTCCAAAAGATGTCTTGTGTGTCTCATACATGTTTAAGCTCCTGGTTGTTTGCATGTCTGAATGCAGGAAAGCCACAAATAATTGAATTAGTTTTGTTTTTGTCTTTTGTGGTTTTAGTCTAGGAAGAACAAGAAGGAAAAAGTTAAAGCTCAATAAAATGGGCGGCTGTTTTTTAGAGCAGATGAGGCGACGTTAAACGTTTGTCTCAAATAAACCAGAACACGTTAGGCAGGGTTTCTTATGTTAGAAAGTAAATGCATTTTTGTAGGGCGTTAGTTCTTTTACTTTTATGCTCTTAAAGTCAATCTCGTAAAGGAAAAAATTAATTAAATGTTACACAAGCATGGACGTAGTTTTGGGGGTGACGGGGGGGAGATGTCCACCCCACTTTCTCCAAAGTCAATTTTTGTCCCCTGTCCGTTTTACCATCCAAAAACAATATTACGCTATAGTAACTCATTCAGTGCGTTTACATTCAGCCAGTAACCCTTTTAAAACCCGAATATTCACAATAACCCGGTTCTGCAGGTCCATGTAAACACTGCCAAAAACCCGGATATGCTGATAACCGGGTTTTTTTAAAACCCGGTTATTACACCTGGGGTAACCCTTTTCTAACCCGAATGTTTGGTCGTGTAAACGCATATCGGGATATCCCCATCAAAGCGTGTGTTCTGCGCATGCTCTGTTCGCAAGGAATCTTGGTCTTTTGAGTAGCGAGACGTCTTGTATGCGCCAGAACACCGGAAGTAAACAACAAGTTGGGAGCAACATGGCGAGTCGCGGCACAGCACCACACTTTGAGTGACGACGAAACTAAAGCGCAAACAAACGCGGTCGCTATCTCTTCCGAACTGGGAAACATGTTGTTGTTTTCACGGATACTGGAACAAGAAGAACCGGAAATGACGCATATTGCGTCTGGACATAGTCCATACGTCCTGACGCTACCCCAACGTCCGCATTTAAATCGGGTTATGCAAGTTAGAGGTAACTCTTTCTATTTATGCTTGTAAACAGGTTATTCTGATCAACTCAGAAACCCGAATACCGACCTTAACCCGATCATAACCCGGATATTGGCTGCATGTAAACGTAGTCACTAACTCATTCACTGCCAATCAGTGCGTTTACATGCAGCCAGTAACCCTTTTAAAACCCGAATATTCGCAATAGCCCAGTTCCGCAGGTCCATGTAAACACCGCCAAAACCCCGGATATGCTGATAACCGGGTTTTTAAAAACCCGGTTACTACACCTGGGGTAACCCTTTTCTAACCCAAATTTTGGTCGTGTAAACGCATATCGGGATATCCCCATCAAAGCGTGTGTTCTGCACATGCTCTGTTCGCAAGGACTCTTGGTCTTTTGAGTAGCGAGACGTCTTGTATGCGCCAGAACACCGGAAGTAAACAACAAGTTGGGAGAAACATGGCGAGTCGCGGCACAGCACCACACTTTTGGAGTGACGAGGAAACTAAAGCGCAAACAAACGCGGTCGCTATCTCTTCCGAACTAGGAAACATGTTGTTGTTTTCATGGATAGTGGAACAAGAATAACCGGAAATTATGCATATTGCGTCTGGATGTAGTCCATACGTCCTGACGCTACCCCAACGTCCGCATTTACATCGGGTTATGCAAGTTAGAGGTAACTCTTTTCTATTTATGCTTGTAAACGGGTTATTCTGATCAACTCAGAAACCCGAATACCGACCTTAACCCGATCATAACCCGGATATTGGCTGCATGTAAACGTAGTTTTTACTGTGTGGGCGTCGGAACGAGCCCCTGCAACCGTGAGAACAAACATCTCAGCTCTAAAACTGATCTTCATCCGCATACGTCACACGTCAAGGGATCAGGAAGCAGAAAATCCATGTGTTAGGA